CACAAAAATAAAAAAAAAAAAAAGAAAAAAAAGAAGTCACATTGAGCACTGGAGGGAAGACGACCACTTTCCAAGTGTAAGGATACTGAAACCCTAGAAGGGATTACCAAGGGTTCTTCTGGAGTGACCAACAATGGAGGCAATTAAAACAAAACAAAGTTCACCATGATCACAAGAAGTTTCTCACTCCTTGTCGTTCCTTAAACCTGGCTCTAACATTTGTTTCAGGAGATACCAAGATGCAAGAGAGAATTTGCAGGTTTTTTCCAGTTTAAACACTTGAAGTTTTTTGTTCTCTTCTCCTGCTTACCTTCAGCATAGTCTTAATTTTCAATTAGCACTCTTCTTACGTGTTTGTGATGATCACAGTTACCATGGCTGCAAAGAAAGGAGTCCATCTTATGCTCTCTTATTGCTAGAGCTTTAAAAAAAAACTCAATAGGACTGCATCAGAGGAGAAGGGAACCTGCTAATTTCTATTTAACTCTCCCAATTCTGTGACTCATGGGTTTACTGCTGATTTGTACTTCCATAGACTAAGAGAGCATACGGCAAGTTAAACAGACATGAAGAACTGGGAAGTACAATAGAAGCCAATTAATGAAAATCAATACTTTGGAAGACTACACTGCACTGATAATAAAGCTCATGTGGTTTACAGAATTAGACTAATTTCACTGTTTCATATAAAAAAATTAGACAACAGTTTCAATGAAGCGTTCTCTCAAGTGTGCAGTTTAAAAGATTACCTTCCTAATTTAATCAAACTAGTAATAATAACAATGGATAACTATTAATGATATTACAGACAGCAGCAAGGGAGAAAGTGTGCCTTGATAAGAACTTCTGAAGGTCCTCTTTCAATCCCTCATACGTAAGGCAGAGGGCATGCAAGCCATGTGCCACACACCAGGTATTACCTGGTACCTTGAGAGGCAGACATCAGCTAGGACCATGTGTCTGCAACATGAGATGTGCAGTACTTCCCATCAAGTTCTCAACATCTAGCCCAAACCAGCCCCCCCGGTCTTCCTTTGTAGCCACCGAAAGGAAGAGCTGCCCCTCCAGAGGGAAATTCATCAGGTCTCAGCCATGCCTTAGCCCCTGCGAAGGACTGGCTGTAGTACTCTGCTCCTCCCCACTGTCTACAGAGCCAGCCTAATGGCACTTGCTCAGACTTGAGACCAGCTCTTCCATGGCATCCCAATTTAGACATCTAACATCATTTCTCCTTCCTTTTTGTCCTCAATGAGTGTTGGTTGAAGCTCCATAGCCTCTGAAGGAAAGCCAAGTTCCCAAGGTAGAACTAAACACAACAACTGTGAGGACAGAGAGGTCAGAGCAAATACATAAAGAGATAGAAAGCCATTCCTTGCAAAAAAAGATGGTGCACCAATCCGTTACTTTCTCCTATAAAAGCCATTTTTGGAAGGCACAGAAAATAACCCAAATTGCATGCACAGGGTACAGCAATAAGTCTCCTGTGAAATGTAAAGGGGTGGGAGGAGGCATGCTACTGATGTAAGCACTTCCATGTGAGCCTAACGGCATCCTCATGAGAGAAGTCACAATGGTCTAATTACATTATTTGCAACACTGAGCTGAAAACTACATTAATATGAGCTTAATTTAAGACCATATTAACTGCATACTCTTCTCCATATCCTCACTGTCCAGAAAGTAACTGTTGTAAGAGGGAAAGCTACACATTAATGTTGGAAACCAACAGCACTATTCTGTAAACATTTAGGTAGTATTTCATCAGAACATCTCACATCCTGCAAATTAAAACAGGTGTAAATGACTGAAGAAATTCAAAGTTTTGTAGTGTCCTTTTTTGTTTTCTTCAATAACATCATTGAAAAGAATAGCTTTGATTTCTAACATTACAAAGAGTTTGATAAAGATTTTTGAACTTCACAACAGCATCCAATGCATTGAGAAACAACTTTTCACACTGAAGTACCTAGGCTGGACCCAGGACACATCACATCATAAGTCCCATAGGGGTAAAGGTCCAGCGACCTCAAAACTAGAGTTGGTGCTTGGACCTGAGGAGTTCAAGTTGCTGGGCCACAGTGGCAGCTTCTGCCCTGAGCTCCTTCTTGGGATACAAGATCTCAAAACTTAAACACCAGAAAATGAAAAAAGCCAAGCTCAGGTCTCTGCAATACCCCAATGAGATCTTCTAGATGTAAGACATCTGTAAGCACACTGCTCATGAAGGACAACAAATGCAGAGTGAATTAGGGCTTCGCATACTTCCTCAAACCCTTAGGACCATTCCCTCCCTTATTTTCTCCATGGACTCTTCTACAAACCTGTGTTAAAAGTTAGGACTTTATCTAACGTACAACAAAATAGCAAATGAAGTGTAAGATTAAACAAGGCTCTCACTTATTTGATCTTTACTTATGCTACACAATCACCAGCACTCTAAGAAGCAAGATTTCAAATGCAGAGATTTACACCCTGAATTGCTTCTCCTTTCTTCGTGGTTAAGGGCCAGTCACATATACTGAGATCTGAAAGAACAGATTATATTAATACCTTGCTATGAAGAAAGAAATAGAATCATCCTCACCGCATATTCAAATATATTACACAAGAGCTCAAACCCCTGGGTACCAAACTCACTATTTGGTTTGTCCCGTTGCCCTCCCAGGCACAGAGAAAATCCAGTGTCATACCTAACCAATTTAGCCTAACTTCCTGGCTCCGCTGCTGGAAGGCTGAAGAGAAAAGCTAAGCTAATCAGGGAAGTCTAATGCCTAAAATACATTCAGAAGCTCCAAAGGATGACTAAAAAAAAAATCAGTATGCTCTACTTTAGGCTCATACGCTAGTTTCTTGCTTATTTTAGGCACACGGTCACCTCATGCTCAATTTTCAGTTCATACGTTAAAAAAGACCTAGACGTATGCCTCTAATAGTACAGTCCTCCAGCAAAGTATTTTAGGCTTGATTCCAACTTCAGCAAAGACATTCACAGCCGAGCCACTCCATACTTCAGGGTTATCTGATAGTTCATTTTAAAACTCCTTGAAATAAATGAAGTCAGGCTACACAACTATAAAGAGAAAGCAATGATAAAAAGAAAAAGATGTCTGCCCAGAGCAGCATATAATACAAGGAGCAAGCATTGGAATGATACGACCAATAAGTATTCGAAGCACTTCCCCCACTTATGTGAAGATGAATCCAGAAAGCCCAAGTAAGATGCCATACTAACCAAAGCATTCCCTAACTAAACCAAAAAACATTAAGAAAACACTTTGGCTGTAACTGTTGAAGTGTCACTACTTGTCTTTTTCTCCAATCAAAATAATTACTAACAAATGACTGAATAATCATCATGACCTGCTTTGTAAATCAACTCAAAAGTTTTCAATTAATATAATCTTATTTTCTACCGAAAAGTATAAAAATTACTACTTCACTTTTACCGCTTATTTGCGATCTTTGCCTTTGAATTTAACACTTGGTTATTCACTTACTACTACTCTTCATGACAAAGGAAAGGAAAAGAGGATACCAGGGACAGGTAAGGTATTCTCAGACATTTCTGTATTACTCTTCCTCCTCCCCTCCCTGGTTTCCACTACAATTTTATTGAACATTCCTTGACGCTGTACTGTTGCCACCAAGCTGTTTTGCCCTTGAAGACATTCACAGCATTTCTCTTTGCGAAACCACTGATTCTATTTATCCCCAGCTGAACATCTTTCATAAAACTGTACGAGTTGCCTTCACAGCACGCTGCAAGTGCAGCCCAAGTCCCCAGCACCCAACATTACATCATCGTGGCTGGAATCACGCCAAACCTGCCGAGCTGTGTGGTACGGGAGGACCCGTTACCGCCTTTGATGCTCACATCAAGTCATCTGCGAGCTGTTCAGCAACAGCAACCAGCTTTCATGGTGATGAACAGGACCACGAAAATGAGTCCGTGGGCATCATGGGCTGTGTGTGTTTTTACAAGACCCAAAACAATGCGCGAGCGGTCCTGATAAAAATGTACAGGCTGCAGACTCATAAAATAGAGATGGGTAGTAAAAGGAAAGAACATTGTGTTATCTGGAAAGCTATATAACTTGAAAAAGAGGAAAGGCTTTTTTTTCCCCCTCAAGTACTTTACATAAATTGAAGCTGCAATCATTATAGTGTTAAAGTTTACGAGAGAATTGATCTGCTACCTTGTTACTGCACATGTTCAGGGGCTGTCATACAAATAAAGACAGGACCTAACTCTAGCCTGGAAACGCGATTTAATGGTAAATGAGTCGGAACAAAGCCCGAAACTTAGCGAATCGCCTACAGCTATCCTGTGTGCGGAGAGACTGCCCTTGGACAACTTTCCCGTTTCTAAACAGAAAAGATTTTTTTCCAAGACCCGACAAAAGCCCAACGCGAGCTAACACGAAGAGAAGCAGCGCTCGCAGGAGCCTGCAGCCCGTGTCACCGGGGATATTGATCCACACGGGGATTTTTTCCCCACAAAAACCTCGAGCTCCCCAGGCAGCAGGCGATGGGCACGCAACCACCCCACCTGAAACGGGGGTAAAAAGAGGGTTTGAGGGCTGCCGGACACCAACGACAAGGCTGCGGGGGCACTCTGTATAGGCACACGGGAGCGTTTCAGTGCTGATTGTGGTTTTATCTTAAAAAATAAAGTTTCGACAGGTGCGTAGCTGAGAGAAACTCGCGCAGGGCTCGGTCCCTGGCACAAGCTGGGGAACAAAACGCGCACACACACACACACACACACCCTCCTCACACACACACACGAGCGGGACGGCGAACCCCGGCCACGTAACCCTGGCTTATTGATTAATTAATTTATTATTTATTAGCCGCTCCGCTCTCCCCGACGGCCGCTTCCCGCCGAAACGCCGTGAGGTGAGCAGCGGAGTGGGGGGGGGGGGGATCCGTGAGGGAGGGGAGTAGAGGGAGGGACCCCTCCTCTCCCCCCCACACCCGCTAACGGCCCCGCGGCTGACCTGAGGGTGCGGTTGCCGGCGCAGCCGCGGCGCTCCATGGCGGCGGGCACGCAGCTGGTGAGCTCGGTCCAGTCGGCGTGCAGCCCGCAGCTCCAGCCGGTGGAGAAGCGGGAGAAGAGCCAGGTGTCCTTGTCGCCGCCCGGGCGGTGGCAGGCGCACTTCTTCTGGCCGGCGCGGCAGTAGCAGGGCTGCTCCAGGCGGATGTTGCGCACCAGGTGCCGCCCGAAGGTGGTGCCGCCCGTCTTCTGGATGTGCAGGAAGACGATCACGTCGCGGCCCCGCATGTCGAAGCGCACCCGGCGGCACAGCTCCCCCCGCGCGAACGGGAACTTGGGCACCAGCCGCGGCAGCGCCGCCGCCGCCGCCGCCTCCTCCGCCTCCTCCTCGTCCGCCGCGTCCCCTCCGCGCCGGGCGGCGGAGGCCGGCGGGCGGCGGGGGCAGGCGGCGCCGGGGCAGGCGGGCGACACGTACTGGTAGACGATGAGCAGGAAGAGCAGCGCCAGCAGCGGCGGCAGCAGCCACCTGTTGAAGCGCTCGTCCATGGCGGCGCGCGGGGCACGGCACGGAGCGGGCTCAGGCGCTGCCGGCCGCTGCCAGGGCGGGCGTCCCGCCCGGCTCCCCTCGCGCGGGCGGCATAGCTGCTCGCCGCCCCGGGCTCGGCTCAGCCCGGCGCGGCCATGCCCGGCTCGGCTCCGGCGCTCCCCGGCCGGCGGCGGCGGCAGCGGGCGCCCGGCTCTCGCCTCCCGCAGCCCCGCGCTGCCGAGCGGCGCCGACAACTCTCCAGCCCAAACGCGCCGCTCTGCCCCCCGCGGGGCGGGGCGCCGCGCAGCCGCCCGCCAATCCGGGCGCGCGGCCGGCTCGGCAGCCAATGGGAGGGCGCGGCACGCCGGCTCTGCCGCCAATAGGAGCGGAGGGGAGGAAAGGAGGGGGGGAGAGGGAGCCGCTCCTCGCTCCCCTCCAGGTACCGGGCGGAGACCAATAGCGCGCGGGGGGGCGGCGGGGACAGCCAATGAGAAGGCGGGGGCGGGGCGGAAGGCAGCCAATGAGGGGGGAGAGGGGGCTCCGCCAGGTGAGCGGGGCGCCCGGGCCGTGAGGCGAGGCTCGGGCCGGACCCCACAACGGCCCCTAACGGCTCCTAACGGCCCCTGGGGCTGATGGCCCGTCTGCGCTATTTAATCGCAGAATGTCTCAGTTTACTCCATTTATTCATCAGGTACCTGGCAGCGCTACGGCAACTTTCTACAGTGTCTTTCAACCAGCTCTGGAAGACCTGTAACAGCGCGGTGCGTCCCCCTGGCACTATTTAGCTCTGTAACAACGTTAAACCTCCGCATCTTACCAGGAAGGTTTTTACACGGAAAGCAGGAGTATTTGGACTCTTGAGAGGGATCATCAGCTCCTATTAAAAACTGTGTGAAATACTGCAAAGAGCCAGCAAACAGCCTAAAGTAAAGGAGATGAAAGTCTGGGAGCTGTGAAACATTCCTAAAATTGCTGCTACAACACCCTCCGTCCCCTGGCTTCCAACATACGCACAGATCACACACACACACACGCCTGTTTGTCCAGGATCTCACAACGCCGTTAAGGTATGAGGCTGGTAAAAGCCTCTGGGTCTTACCAGGCATCACGAGAGATGTGCTTCTATCTGCACTGAAACTTTGCAGGGAACACCCTGGATTATCTGGTGAAAGCATTTTGTTCTCACCCTTAGCCTGTTCATTACCGAACAAGCAAACATCAAACCAGAGAAGCAACATTAAGTATAGCCTTGTTTCTGTAACGTTTCTGTAACAGAATAGCACTAGGATGGCTTGTGGTGGTAACCGTGTATTTGGAATAAAAACACCGCTAAAGGATTTAGACTGAAGTACCTCTCGTAGTGCTTTTAGTAAGATGCAGAAGTGCTATTACAATTTAAGATTTTCTCATTAAATAGCAGATTGTTGACACAGTACCTTCACCTCTGTGAAAAGGTAAATGTACTAAACAGGGAAACTGTGAATTGCAGTTACATTTAAAGTTCCTATTTATTTAGACTTGCACAACACAGTTACTGATTTGTGAAGACCAGCAAAAAAACATACCTATATTTCTTTATTGGACAGAAAGGATGTACAGGAGAAGAACATTTATAATGAGGTTTAGATGAGAAACTTGACCTTTAAAAAACTGTCATATTTCTGAAACTGGCAAAAAGTACGTGCGGGCCCACAGAAACGAATGTGCTTATGCAGCTCTCAAGGACAGCCTTTTAACTTAAGAATTTTAATATTCCTAATGATGTTTTGCAGCCCATGCTTGCTGGAGAGCTACAACCCACAGCACCTCCAGCCACCACCCAGTTCTTCACAACTGCACACAGTGCATGCCCTTACACCATAAGCTGTACTGCCACTGAGGCCAAAGGTTCGGAGAGCATTCGGTGTCTCCAGCAGGTGCCTGCCTGACATTGCACTTCTTGGATGCTGAGTATCCCTACAAAGAGAACATTGTGTTTCTATTTGGGAGTATTTTATGTTCTCCTTAGAGATGTACGTGTTATAGCACAAGGCCCCGTGGGATTGAACTTTACTAATATTAGTTAGGTTCTTTCAAAGTCAATGGCTGTAGTTCATCAGCCTCAGCGGAGCAATAATAAGGGTCATTTTGAATCCAGCCAGTGTTTCTGCTGATTTAATGGGAACATAGCTGAGTTCAAAACAAAGCCCTAAAAACTGCAAGCACTGCTCAGTCCCAACATTTTTCCCCTTAAAATATAACTCAGCTGTAAGTCTCCAACAAGAGTTTACTTATAAGGAAAATCAAAAGTTAGTTACAAGCTAGTTTTCAGGTACTCTGAATAAAGTTTCCATGGATTTCAAAACAGGTTACAAGTAAGTTTTCTTATTTCCTACATAACAATTCTCCAAGATCCTGTGCTGTCAGAGTATAGCTCAGAGTTCACCAAGTATTCAAACAGGAGAATCCTGAAATGATCTACTCCTCATAGCAACTTCAGATAAATGACCTCAAAAAAACCCCACACCTGTTAAAACCAGCATGTAATTTCTACTGTCATCTCTACCAGAGAAGTGCTGACGTGTGAAAATACACACACAAAACTGTATTAAAATTCCAGCACAGTACGCCTCTTATGCTTGGCACTTCCCAGGTAGCACACAACAGGCTTTCTGAGTTGCTAAAAATAAAAATTGGCATGCTTACCATTTATTTTAGAAATCGATATAACATTTGCTAGTCTGAACCAACAGGCATGGGAAATAGTGTCAGTGCCAACATCAGGTTTGGTACAGAATGCATGACTAAGAAAATGATATTACGAAGCAAAGGTACAAAATTATGATTTCATTCAGCAATTACCTGTCTGACAAGGTTTATATTTAATAATCTATTAATGCAAAATTGAAGTGACACCGACATCACGTTGGTTTCTTTCAATTATTTATCACCGCCTGACCTGAAATGTTTCAACACTTGTAGCCAGTTGAGATTTCCCATAAAACAATTTTTCATTGTTCAGCAAGTCCCAGGTCTCTCCCTTTTCACAAGGATGCAAACAGTAAAGCTGTAATAGCTAAATTAATAGACTCATGCTAACTTCATTCATCTCTTTGGGATTAATTTGTTCCAAGGTTTATAGTATAAACCTCCCTTATTTTTTGTCAGATTAAATTTTATTCTTTGCAGTTACTGAACCTTCCATTTCAATGGCACATTAAATGCTGTATTCTTCCTTTTAAAGTAATTTATGCATTATACTGTCACCGGCTCACCATCTTGTAATTCTTGCAACTCATCACAACACGTTAATTTTTACTTCTCGTGATTGCTGTTCTTTTTATGCAGGTAATAACTTTCTTAAACCTATGACCCCCCCCTCCTTTTTTCCCTTTAGTCAGATTCAGACAACAAAGAAGAAATGACACTTCAGGTCCAGCAGAGATCATAATGTAAAAGGTGAGAGTTCAAATATGTTCTTCAGTTACTTTCATACATTGTCCTGGGTGTGATATAGCATCAGTTCACTATTCCTTTATTAGACAGACTATGCTGATCCTTCATAGTCTTAAATGTTTCATGTGTGGCAGTCCATATGCAAATGCCTCTGAAAGTCATTCCTTACACGCTGCTGCTTGTTTCCCTCCTGAGATAAATGACCAGCTGTATTCTGCTTTGAATACTGATCATTCCACCTGTGTAAGGCTCTGACCTAGGACAACTCAAACATCCAGCATTCTACTCAGTGCCCTTTTGTTTACAACCATCACTCGGCAGTTTAAAACTGCTCACAGAAAAATTAATATATATGTATAGTTACAGTTGTTGGGAAGATAGTTTCCCAGGAAAACAAGAAAAAAAGGAACATTTTTGAAAACTTTGAACTAGATCTTTTTAGATCAATGCTAAAGCTTAGCTGTATATACATAGATGTCCTTTCTATCAAGCACACACGGTTATCTTTTGCTCTTGCACCACTATAGCCCATCCTTGGATTCACAGTGGGCATCAGCAAATGAAACAGCACCTGGGACCATTCCTGGGCATTGCAACATCATCATTTAGTAGAGTAAAGAAGGAGAAAATGCTCTAACCAGGTTTTGGCATGTGAATTAGCACTCTCCCAGACAACCCCTGGACATAGTTTGGGGAGTCAAACCATTCCAGAAAACACCAGTCACCAAGAGCACCACTGCCAGTCAGGCTGTGTCACAGTATATGGCCTCAGTATCCAAGGAAGTTCCTGAGCACATTTAATTTACTGATGTAGACTCCACCACCAGAGCATTTGCAGTTCTTATTTTAAGGAAAGAAAAACTGTGTTCTCTCTTGCCTTTTGGACTGTGGCATCAGCATTACAAAACTCAGGTTAAAGTTACCATGTTTTCTAGGAGAGAAAATCTCTGGCATGTAGGACCATGTAAGGGGCTTACTGGAGTTCACTGCCTGGAGAACAGGATGGCCACCAGGCACAAACAATGGTGACCCTTGCTGGAATCCAGCTGTAATCACAACCGTAGGAAGGATGATGTGAGGTGTGACCACTGCCTGCAAACTGGCTAACAAAGAGCCTCTGGCTGATTTTGCCATTCAAGAAGATTATGTGCAGCTTCATGATAAGGCCAGGTAAGCACTGATGAGTGGGAAGCTACTTGAGTGAGGCTACAAGTACTCCAGCTGTTTCAGGCTGCAATATCAAATGACCAGCAGCAAATGCAGGTCTTGGAGCAAAGAGAAAAGGCAAAGAGTATGAAATGTAGAGTGTTTTCTTGTAATCCCAAAGAAACTAAACATAGAGTTGTTTGTGTATGCTCTTTATGACAGCTGGCATCTGCAACACAACGACAGCATTTAACAGGACCGACACAGAAAACTGCTCTCCCATTTCTGTCCTGCGCAGAGAAAAACCTAGACCTACTTACACACATTCCTTGCAGTCTCCAGCCTTTGAATCCTGCAATATTTATGATGCAAACTCTAGAGTAGCTTTTGTGGACTAATTACAGATCAAAGGCATTTGATCCATACCACATCTGCTTATATTTTTCCAGATTCAGGTACAAGTAGAAGTGCTACAGACTCAGTCCCTGACAATCATGTGAAGGATCTCTCTATTACATTTGAATATGGCATTTTGTTTTTCCCTGTAAAGAGCAGCCTAACAGCATCCAATACGTTCCTCTTTTTCAAGACTGTGGTGTCCAAGTCAACGTCTCAGTTTCCAGATTGCAACTCTATCCCAAAAACTGACTCTGATCCAGGCAATCAGTGCAGAGAGAGACCCA